GCCACCAATCTGGGTGACAGCCACCACCTCACCCTGTGTCCCCCCCATGCAGGGGACCCCCCAGGGGGTAAAACAACAGGCACCGGCGGATGCCAAACCCACTCCTGCCAGAGTGGCTGGGACCCAACTCAGGGGGGCTTCCACCCAGATGACAGCGGTGGTGATGGGGACCTGGCGGTACTGGTGACAGGGCCTGGCGGGCTCTCAGCCCCCCCAGCTGCGCATTCCTCCCAAACCCGTTCGGCAGGGTCCCGTGCTGTGCCAAGGCAAAGGCATCTGGGTTGGGTTTTTCCTGGTCATGCCCTGTTTCACCCCGGTGCCGAGTCAACAAGCAGGATAAAGATGGATTCACTGCAGCCTGGTGCCCCCCCTGGTGCTGCCGGTGTCCCCCCAGTGCTGCCAGTGCCCCCGTTTCTCACTCGCAAACCCCCAAAGCCGCCGGGGAGGATCCCGCAGAAAGCCAAGAAGGGGAAAAAGAGGAGGCAGAAGCAAGTGAAAAACGACCCAATTTAATCCCAAAGCCCTCCCCCCGGCTCCAGGGTGTTGGGAGCACCCTGCTCCCCGCCAGCCCGGTCCCCGGCCCCCCCAGCCAGGCACCCCGCAGGGCACTGGGCTGAGCGCAACCCCGGGAGCACCCCACAACTCTCTGCTCTGGCGCGGGGAGAAGGAGCTTTCCGAGGCAACCGGCCTCTTCCTCAGCTCCGCCAGCAGCCCCGCACCGGCACCCAGCCGTGTCCCAGCACCCCTCGCCCCACCGGGGCCACCCGGAGCCCTTAGGGAGGTGCCCTGACGAAGACCATCTTGGTGGAGTAGACCAGGTCCACCAAGTAGGCGATGAGGTTGAAGATGGTGAGGAAGGTGACCCCCAGGCGCTTGTTCCACCAACAGTCCCTGCTGCAGGGGTCGGGGCGTTGCACACCATTGAAGCTGTAGAAGGGCCAAATGATGGTGGCGGTGATGTACATCATCAGGGCCAGGGCATTGTAGCCCACCAACACCTTCTCCAGCGGGCAGGGCATGTAGGTGAGGCACCGGCCAATGGTGAAGACAATGATGAGGAAGGTGATGATGAAGCAAATAGAGTAGACAGCCACACACCACTGCAGGCCGGCTTCAGAACTGTAGTTATCCAGCAAGGAGAAGATGAGACAAGCCACATAGGCTTCAAAGCCCTTGAGGAGCCCAGGCACGGTGGAGAGGAAGCTGCTGATGTCCCCTGGCTTGGCGCGGGTGAGCCCCACCTCGAGGGCGTAGGCGAGGAAGCAGAGGCAGGAGACGGCGGGGGCCACAGCCTGCCGGGCACCCTTGCTGCTGCTGCAGGGACTGCTGATGAAGGTGGAGGGGAAGACTACCGAGGTGGTAAAGATCATCAACGCCGCCAGCATGGAGAAAGCTGAGGTGAAGTCATCCCAGGAGAACGGCAGCTTGGGGTAGAGCTCCAGCAGCTCCAGAACCAGCACCAGCAGCGTCACGGCGAAGCAGAAGCACCAGGTGAACATGCACCACGTCCCATAGGGACCGCCGAATGCCCTAGTGGAGGCCACCAAGCTGAAGGCGATGCAGGACAGCACGACGGCAGCGAGCCGGGCGATGCCCACCCAGGAGGTCACGGCGCGGAGGTTCACCGTCGCCACAGCCATGGTCCCGGATGGCTCTCCCACCGACGCCGTGCACTGGGAAATGGGTGCTGCCGGCAGGCG